GTCATCTGATTGACTTGGTGTCTGCAGACAATATTGTCCTTCTGAGTGAGGAAACTGACAAATCGAAGGGTCCTCTAAATGCGTTAAGCAGAAATCTGAGTATTTTTGGCATGTCTTTCTCTGACACCTGTCAAGTATAAGATGATGTCCCAGGACTGATCTGCTACAAGCACTTCCAGTTTAATGAGAGACAGTGAAGTGATGGAATGTGTCGACCACTTCGTTTACCTGGGAAGTTGCATCACCGCAAACGGGTTGCTTGCTCACGTATTCTCAGCTCAGATATTGAAGACTCGTTTGGCATTTTCCAGCTTGCATCATCTGTGACTCCAATCGGCGAAATATCCGAGTACCTATCTCGGACGACTATATTGCACTATAGTCTGTTCTGTCCTGTTGTACGACTGCGAGACATGGCCTTTAAAAGTAGAAAACATGAAGCGGTCACAGGGTTTTCATCATAGGCGTCTTCATAGTACTGCTCGCGTTTGGTGGCATGTAGGCAGTTTTGAGGCCAGGCGAAGAATACTAGCCAAGACGGGGAAGTCGACTGATGCGGTTGTGACCCTTCATTGACTGAGATGGCTTGGACACATACTGTGCATCCTGAAACATAACCTACCTCGGCATGCGATGCTTGGGGAAGTTGGATTAGGTTGGAGGGGGATTCATGGTGGCCAGACCAAGACGTGGCACTACTCCATAAAGTCCCTAACTGTCGGTCTCAGCCGTGTGAGAAAATATGCACTACCTATCTGGGGTCCCTGAGACGAAACAGATCAGTGGTTGACAAATCTTGATAAAGTAGCTGAAAGTCAGTCGCAATGGCATAGGTGTATTCACTCCTTGACTTCTTCTAAAGCTTAAATATTCGCACTAACCCTCATCTTCAGACTGTGTATTCTCTTACACGACTTTTTCTAGTTTAAAACCACTTTTTTCTATCTACCTGTTCTTTGTATACTACCATGAAGTGTGACAACTTGAGCCAATGCAAAGTTGTGTTAGGTTTTGTCAGTCAGTAAGGTTTATCTTTACTACTTTTTATTGCTGAATTGTCATTTCTTCTTCATTTTTCGTCTCTACTTTTTTTTAACAAAAGCGAGTGTTTATTCTTTTGAATTTCTGGATTTTTTTGCTATGCCAGTGGAAATGGCGTAATGAGCGTAGTAGGTGATGTTGTACCATTGGTACCGTGTAGTTTACATCTCTATACTTTCAAGCCTGTCTTAGCTTAATGATTTGATGACAGGTAGATGAAAATGTTTGAAGGTGTTATACTCTTCTGTTTGGCATAAAGCTCTAAACTTACTGGGATTTCCGGTGCATCGAAGCTAATAAATAGCTGTACCTTTTGGATGCTCCTAATACTTTTCACACCTTACTATCGAATAAATAAATAATCTGGATGACATCTTCGGTTTTTTTGTGTGTATGCACTTTTGACCAGATCATTGTGTGTGATATGTTGTTTTTGGAGGTACTCTCCAGGTTGGTTGAATAGTTAGGCCTTCCTTTCTGTTGAGTGCATTAGGATTCAACGTAATATGAAATTCGTCTGCTATTCTTCTTTCTTTATAGTTAGAAAATCCCTTTTGAATAATTTTAATATTTTCAATATAGATTTTGTGACTGTGACTGATAGATGGCGTGAACTGCGATCGCCGACTTGATTTGTAGGTTCTCTAGTTCTACAGGATTATTTGGCGGTCATTTTGTGTAGCTTGCATGTTCTTTAGCCCTAATGAGGATCTCACGGGATGATTCTCCGGTATAATAAGCATCACAGTCGACATAACCTAATTTTTAGACACAATTTTGTGTGGAGGTAAAAGGAACTTTATCTTATAGGTGGGCCAGAGCATTCCTCAGAGTTGTTGGTTGTCATGTAAAAGGTCCTAATTCGGTACTTTCTTAAGATTCTTCGGTTGTACCTTGGCGGAATGGTAGAACTATTGTACCAATCTAAGAATCATCATTTGAATTTCCTCTTGGGTCCCACTGTTCATGTTTCTGGATTTTTGGAATAAAATTAGCTTTGTGGCTCTCCTGAATAAGTTCCGAGCAAGTGAAAGTTTAGCACTGAGTGGATGTGCTGAGTTAAAATCAAGATATCAATTTGAATGTGTTAGTTTACGATAAATCGATAAACTTAGACTTCCGTTTCCATTCCTCTTAACTAAACAGTCTAGAAGTGGTAGTTCTCTGCTTAGATTTTCATATTCAAGTATGAACTTGACATGTGGAGAATAAGTGTTAATTAATTTTGAAAAGGTTCTGAAGCCAGATCTTTTTAAAATTACGAAAGCATCATCTACGTATCTGAGCCAAATACGTGGTTTGTTGGTGTTCGAAAAGATGACTGATTCAATGTGGGACATGATAGGGGACACCGGAGAACCTGTAACTACTCCATTAGTTTGCTTGTATAGTTTTCTTCTAAACGTGAAGAGTGTCGACTTTAAACAAAAGTTAAGTACTTTCATGATGAGGCTGAGGTTCAACGGAGATCTATCCGGCAACGTATGATCACATTCTAGTAATTCACTTATGAACCCTAAGCATTTTTCAATGAGATTACTAGTATACAGTGAAACTATCGATAACTTGTACAGGTTTTATTCTTTGAAGAAGCGATTTCCACGAAGTTACGAAACGTCAGAAATTTATTTTTCTACTACATCGGGATTTTACAAAATATATTTCACGTTTAATCCAATTACCCAATGCTCAACTTATTCAACTCTATCAGGTCAAATTTTGATCCTGAAGTTTACAAAATTATTTGTCTTTTCTGTTCCAATATTACTATTAAAGATTTGTGATTTTGTTAATTAGTAGAAATAAAGCTTGTTTACTTCCAGGGGAATATTACCGTTGGAATACATGAATCAGATATAATTGTAACTCGTAAGCGTCGATAAGTTGAGACTTAATAAAAGATAATTAATTCATCTGTTTCATCATAACAGAACTATGTAATACAGTTTCGTCTTCTGTAATACACAAAACTTATTCAAAAAAAACCCAGTTATACATAATAGCTTTTAGTAATATGCATTTACATTAAGTTTTATAAACCGGTTTTACTAAGGCAAATTTTAAGTTTTCCATGAATTTATTCATCAAAGCAAAAAAGAATGTTATCATTATCTATCTTCCCAACCATAAACGATAAAACCAATGAAAACTAACATATTTTATTGTTTGAAGTAGGTCAACTTGAGGTATTTATTTCATTGAAACTATTGCATTACAGTAACGGCTGGAATACAATGCTCATCACTCGTGAATTCAATAAATTATTCACTTATTATCGACAAATGCCAATTTATTACTTATGTATGAACCTGAAAGTAAATAACTACTATTGGTTAGTTGATTAAACATATCCGCTTCCCTTAAATACTGACCTATAAGTTAGAACATTGAATGGTAGTTGAATGGATTGTTATACCGTGAAGAAATAGGTCGCTTAGTGTAGCATATATATATATATATATATATATATATATATATATATATATCGGTGTATAAATTGAATCTAGCTCATACTTACCAGGAGATCTACTCCACTCCACTCAGCATAAAGCGTGAACAATATCCGGATTGTCAACACCACTATCAAGTCAGTGCTGCTTTATGGTTCAAAACTTGGCATCTCACGGAAAGCACTTCCAACAAACTACAGACATTCATCAACGGCTGTCACCTACGCTCACTCGATACTGAAGGTGAATCAGATGGCAAGAAAGAATAAGCAACGAGTAACTCACTATAGCTGGCGACGAACTAACAAGGCAAGAACCTATCGCCCAACAAATATGCAGAAGAAGAAAGTGAAGATGAATTGGATCGGACATACACTTTGAAGACCGTCTGTGGACATCACGCATCAGGCCAGGCCATCGAGTGGAATCTAAATGGGAAAGGACGAGTTGGGCGTCTGAGGTGAGGGTGAAATGGAGGAGATTGTGTGAGGAAGAAATGAAAGCTTGTGGGCAGCTGCGGTGACAGGTCCAAAAGACTGTAGAGAACAGAGTGCAATGGAGGTTTTGCTACTGAAGCCCTATGTTCCACTAGGAACCCAAGGGAAAAATAATAAATTATAATATAGATCGTTATCCAAATGCTGGTCATTGCGTTTTCGTCAACTTAAGTCATCATCTTGCATTCATCTTCATGTGTTTGTTAGTTGTTTCTGTAAAGCTTCATGTCATCTCAGTAGAAAAGCTGTAGATATGTACATTCTAGGTAACATGGTTAAATTATAAAGAAAACCTACATCATTCGTTCTGTCATAATGTTCATATACTATTGATAAATATAACGAAGCTTATGATGAGGAGACTTATTCTGAGTTGTTACTAATGATTAGCAGATACGCCTTGCTAATGTCAAGGAGTTCTTCATATCAATTGCCTCCAACTAACTAGCATCCCTCAAAGTACACCGCGATCTTTGTGGTCACAGTGAAAAATGATTGGTGGAATTTGGTCGGGATTTAGGACTAGATAACGCGAAATTGCTTGCTGTCCAGTGACCAGTAAATGTATATAGTATAATGTATAATTGAATTCGATACTGAAATTGTTCACATTCTATCCATCTACCTACTAACTTATACCTAACTCGTAAATATTTGTGAAACTGCAAATTGTTTTTAACACCAAGTAATATTCTATATTCTCTTTGCCAAGATACTAGTATTTATCATTTGACTATCTGAGATACCAACTGAGCTACAAGGTCCAGTTGGTATAGCCTCAGGTGAGCAACTCAGTGGTCACTGGTCCAAATCCGGTCATGGTTCAAATTTTCATCTTACTTTCAATCATCACCCAGTATAAAATACCAGTGTTTATCATACGTAATGGTGAAAATAAGAAAACATATTGGTCACTTATACATTACATTATACACTGGTGCTGCTCCTGATGATAATAATACTACTACTACTAATAATAATAATTTGACAATTTGCTTTCTTCCCCTTATAGAAACCTACAGATGAGATTGGTAAAGCATACGTTGAATTCCTACGAGTCAATTTAGAACAAATGCGTCAAAAAGTTTCCGATGAATTATACATTCTGTCAATTATGGAGGTAATTTTATACTACTGTCTGAATTCTATGTCAACTTAGTTTTTAATTGTTTACTTTTTTAACAACTCAAAAAAGTTGATTAACAAAACCTAGTGTCATTTTGTAAGCTGGTGGATAGACTTTGTATACATTCATTAGTTAGCTATTTGTTACCGATTTATTGCTGAGTTGTAAAGAGTTCACATAAGCATCAATCAATCTTCGATGTAACAAATAATCATCTTTTGTAATCATCTACACACTATCAATAGGATTTATATATAACATGAAGTTGACTTTTCATCATACCATCCTATGTGTTTTATATTGAACTGTGGTAGTTATTGATTCGACAAAATGAACTCGTAGTTGTTGTTAAGCTTCAAATGAATGAAAGTGATAAGATGCATTCACTATTGAATTGATATTACACTTCTAAACCTCTAATAATAATGACCATATAGTGGTTGAAAAATAGTTAGTGATTGAAATTATGAAAAATATTCGGTGGAAAAATGAATTCCCATTAACTTGATTAAAGTTGAACTTGTATTCACTATAACATATGACATATAAACACTAAAATAGAGTCATTCAACGATACCAGCATAATAACTGCCACTTCAAGATTGCTTGAGTTCATTTTCTCATTTTATAAACTCTTCCTGTATAAACTAAAACTTTAGTAATACTTATAATTATGCGCTCACTGTTCCCTACTCCTTTGGCTACCTCTGATTAAGCATTAGTTGTATAGCAAGGAAAGACATGATAGATTGTTTCGGTTATAATAAACAGTTTATGTAGTAGTCATCACTCATTTCATTTTAAATACATCAAGAACAACATAGGACTAGGCATTACTGTGTAACAGTCCAAGCTGCCACACTTCATATCAGCATATCAAGTAAGAAGGCAATAAAATGGAAGATGAAGTGGGTAAGAAAAATCGGCCAACGAAAGTAGAAGTAGAAATTAGTAAGAGGAAGGAAGAAAGGAAGAGATGATGAGATTAAGTATAGCGATTAAGATGAGGATAATATGTGTATACATTTGTGTCACTTACATCGGTTCTGAGCCGTATCACCTAAAGTTTCCAACCTCTAGTTTCTCTTGTCCTCTGGCTAGTCTGTATGCCCCTCCCCCGTACATGCCTCAAACCAACAGTCAAGGACTTCATACATTGATGGCATGTTTTAGTGTGGCCACCCTGAGCCTTTTACCATCCTGAACTCACTTCGGCCAACATTGTGTGACGACATAGACGCTTGTTAGGTATATATAACATATGTCCCAGTCATCTCAATCGATGAAGGGTCACAACTGCATCAACTTTCTTACCTTTCCTCCTTAAAACTCTACGTATGCAACTGTGGTCGAACACCTAAAGCCTCATTTCTTCTACCTTTAATGCTGATGTTTCATAACCATGCACTAAAATTATTTATCGGGTAATATCTATCTCATGACTAAAGATAACCAATTGAATTTTCAAATGATTTAAACCTGAGTGTAAATAACAGTTTTCTGTCTGTTAATTAAAAATATTCACAGTTTTTAACTAATTTTTTGTTACTAGTCTTTATTATGAGTTTGATCCTACAGTATGCAAGTCGTTCTCCGATTAATGATATGTCTGATAGCCTGATAGTTAAAATACACTAGTTAGACTGTTTGATGACAAAGAAGTTGTGATATTCATCAATGATGATGTAATATATCGATTAACTTTAAACAGCGTAATGAGAAGACGAAAATTATCAGAAACATGTATGATGTATTAGCACCATACATTTCGAACAATCTGATCACACATGAACTTGTTGAACTATTTATGTGAAAATTTACTAAAAGGGTCAGTGAAGTTAATAGGAAACATAGGAATAGGGTGGAGCAGAGAAAAAGAAAAAAACGTTAACCACGTTATTCTTCGTATGAAAATTGAAATCAATACTACTAAGATAGGTTCAACGTGAATACAAATTGTTTTTGTATACTTAAAGGGGGGTTTGAATTTACGGATGGCAAGAGCTTCAATAAATTTAAGCACTCGGCTCTGACCACTTTTATGTAGTACTTTAAAGGCTGTTTTCATGTGTATCCTATGGTCAGCTTCCAGTATATGTTTAGCGATAGACGAAGATGGATGTTTGTCACCTTCACTTATAGGATCTGTTGAGGTAATTTGTTTTTGTAGGCACTTACAGGTGCATGTTCAACCCTACCTTAACTGCATATCATATAATTAATTCGACAAGTCCATGTGTGATCAGATAGCGATAATACATCACACATGTTTCAGATAATCTTCGTTTTCTCATTACGCGCTGTTTAAATTTATCAAAGGGATCACTTGCTTTAGATTAACTTTAACTCAGACAACTTCTTCCCTTCTTATAAGTGATACTTTCATTTTAAATGTACATGGTTTGTCATAGCCGATAAACTCCATTTCAAATGATCTACAGACTATCTATAAACAATCATACTAAATGAAATCTTCCATTAAACGTTCTATTCCATTACAAAATCTTCCTGAAACTTCATAATATTTCTTTTAATATTAGCATTGTTTCACTATTCCTTGTTCTCAACTAGTAATAACATATTTCCAGTTGAAAGATATATAGTTTCTATATAATGAGAGAAATATTTATTCAGTCTGATGTTTGATTTATCATCTTTTCATATGGTCATCAATATGACACCATTTTAAACAGAAAGATAAATGATTACTGCAAAATTGGAAAGATGAAGACAATATGAAAATAAATAGTTAACTGATTACCATGAAAAAAAGTAACGAAGATGAATATTTTAATCCTCATCTCTATCTTTTTTTTCAACTTCTTTTAAATGTAGAATTCTAAAGTTTATACAATATCTATGTGCTAAGAAATTACTAGATTAAAAAGCTTGTTTTAGAATATAATCCAATTCGATTACATTATTATTATTATGTTTAAACTTTCACTTATTTCCCTTAGCTTCAACCAGTGAAGATCACCACCATGGTGATTGAATCTCAAGACTATTCTACACAATTAAAATTAGTTAATTGTACATTTTCTTTGTGGATGAGAAATTAACTAAGTTCACTCTTTTCGTTTGAAAACCTTCCTAAACATTTCCTATTCAATAGCAATAAAGTATGTAGTAACAACTGCAGTACTGTAACTAAACCAGTAGAAGTGTCTATTCAGAGTATGTTTATTAAAAAAATGAGTTTTTTATATATTCTACCGACTCCAAATCATTCCAACGTCAATGAACTTATTATCACCCATCTGTACTTGACAGTTTAGTATAAGTCATACAAAGTTGAAAAGAATACTGAGTTCAGACATCGTCAAATCCTTATGAAACGGCTAGTGTACTACTTCTGAGGCAATGTCAGAAAGTCTAATCACAATAACAAACTGCTATTTCCAATAAAGGGAGAGACTAAAGCATGTTCTGTATTCAAACAACGACCGTAATAGCCTGGCTGGCTGGCTTGAAGAAGAACAAATCATATGCGCATCAAATTGCAACGCAACGCTACGATACGCATCATCATAGAACAGAGCATAGAATGGCAGAATGGCAACTCTCCACCTCAACTTCATCCACTTTGAAAAGGCTTTCGATCGAGGCGACGACCGACAAGTAATTTGGAAGGCAGCTCCTTCAACAATACGGTTCTGGTGCCACAAACCTTTATCAACCTCACTGAACAGTAGGTATATGCTATATGATGCTACATGTCAGCCAAGTGATTGACAATGGAAAGGTCAGTTGATGCCTTTGAAGTGAAGACAGGAGGGAGTAGATCAAGACAAGGTTGCCACCTACTATCACTGATGATCTTCCTGATTGTGGTGTCTGATGTCACAAAAATTCGAAGATCAACACGCGAAAACTAACAAGTTGACAGAAGAGGCAGGACAGTGGAGGAAGATGGGACTTCTTCCGGTGGAGGTAGGGAAGACAGATGTGAAGAAAATACTCAACCAACAACGACAACAACAACAAGAAGGAGCACCAATAACCATCAACAGGAGAAACCTAAACGAGGTTGCCTCTTTCACCTACCTAGACAGTTTCATTCCAACTACAGGCAGCACATGCACACGAAACGATGTAAAGCCAGACAAGATCGGAAAGACAGCAACATGGTTCTTCATTAACCTGCATTAACCTGAAATCAGTGTGGACATCTACTACACTTCACTGCATTGAACTGCACTGCACTGCACTCACCATAAAGCGTGAACAATATCCGGATTGTCAACACTAATGTCAGTCAAGTAAGTCAGTGCTTCCATGTGATAGTTGAGAGACATGGCATGTCACGCAAAGCATTTCCAACTAACTACAAACACACATCATCAACAGCTGACACCTACGCTCAGTCAATACTGAAGTTCAGATCAGATAGATGGCCAGAATAATGAGAATAAGCAACAAGGAACTCATTCTGGCTGACCGGCTGGCTGGCTGGCTGACAACAAACCAATGATGCAAGAACCTATCGCCCAACAAATATATTCAGGGGAGAAAGTGGAGATGGATTCGATTGTATTGTATTCTATTGTATTGAACATTCATTGAGGAGACGGTTTGGGAACATTACGGGACCGGTTGGGCCAGGTTGTCGAGGGGATCCCAAATGAGAAACGATGAGTCGGGTATCCGAGGTGAGTGTGACATGGAGGAGATTGTGTGAGGAAGAAGTGGAAGCTTGTGGGCAGTGATGGAGCCAGGTTGAAAAGACTGGAGAGAAGAGAGTGAAATGGTGACGTGCTACTGAAGCCCTATGTTCATACTGGCTACCCAGTCAGGGACTTCTCATTCCAGTTGAAATCTACTTCATTTAGAGAAGGGGAATGTCATATAGATTGATTATCAGTTTGACTAATTGAGATAGTCGTAGTTTAGCAGATTTGTAATTTATGGTGGGTGATGATTGAATGTGAAATGAAAACCTGAGCCGTGGTTCTCCGGTTCGAATCCTGCCATGGCCAAGACGTCTATTTCGC